ATTTCCTACTGGGTTGCTCATGCGGAGCATTTCTCTTGTACTCACCAACACACACAGTTTAACTTTTGCCGAACGCTGCTTTAGAGCCAGTGTTGCCAACTTCTGACTTTCAAAAAGCACCAAAACTTGGGGAAAAAGCGTTTTACCGTACTAAAAGCACACATTTTTTTATACCAAAGGATATTTTTTTTCATAACAGTTTGTATTTAACAAAAGTGAAAAAAATAAATAATATTTATAAGTATAATTCAATACACAAAACTTTTTCTCGTGCTAACGAAGTAATACCGAAGTAAGTACTGCAGATTAAAACTGGTATATTTATAATAATAATAGATTGGCACATTGATTACACATATGCCAGTGTTTGGCCGAGCTTCTCCTCCGATTAGTGGCGTGCGCCTTGATATTGTCACACAAAGGGGGTATACTAGTATATTTAGAGGAAGAAAAATCGAATCGCAACAAACGAAAAAATGAATGTAGATTCTTTTAAATTCAGTGCTGCTACAGCTTTAAATATTTCAAATAATTTCATGTTCTAACTATCTATGAGAAACTTGAGTTCAGAAGAAGAGCACTAAAAAAAGCACTAGGCACTAAACAATTTTTTTTGGCGTTTTAATTTTCAAAAAGCACCAAATCTAGTGCTAAAAGCACCAAGTTGGCAACTATGTTTAGAGCAGTGTCAGCCACACTTACACAACCACATTTTGAGCATGTATTGAAAGCACAAAAGCTTATCGATACACCCAAAAAAATTTGAAAACGTAACACAAAGTTTTGTTTTTGCTAAGTAGAACGTTAGTAAAGTTTAAAGCATTGTTCCCTTAATATGTATTTAAGTAAAAGAAAATGCAAATACATTAATATATATGTGCGTGCAAAGAATGGTCGCAGAGTTTGCTTTGCTTAATAATAATAATAATAATAATAGATTAGCGCTTACACATATGTTAGTGTTTGGCCGAGCTTCTCCTCCGATTTGTGGCGTGCGCCTTGATGTTGTCACACAAAGCGGAGGGACCTACAGTTTTACGCCGACTCCGAACGGCGATTGTATTTTTATGAGAAGCTATTTTTCATGGCAGAAATACACTCGGAGGTTTGCCATTGTCTGCCGAGGGACGACCGCTGTTAAGAAAAAACCTTTTTTCTATATTTTTTGCGATGTTGCTTTGACCAGGGTTTGAACCCAGGCGTTGCGGAGTGGAAGCGCGCACTGCTTACCACTACACCACAGGGGCCGACGCTTTGCTTAAACTAAACAAACAACACCCCTACATGCATACATAATGTGACCAACCGTACTTCTGTCAGAAGTACAGTACTTCTTTTTCCGCTCTTGTACTTCGTACTTCGAAGTACAGTCTTTCTTTGCGATATTTTGTACTTCAGGAGGGAGATTCTAAAGCCAGTTAGCGAAAATTTTTGGATTTCCATCACACTTTTTGACGCATGACGTCAAAAAGTGCGATAGCGATTTGAAAATTGTCGCTAACTGGTTAAAGAATCTCCCCCCAGGTCCTGTACTTCTCCGATCTTACGGACGATTGGCATATGGCGTGGGCGATAAATTCGTTCAAACCAATAAAGTCGCCTGGAGCGATGGCATCATACCTGCGCAGCTGCAAAGGGCTTTGAAGGTGTCGTGTAATTGCATGGGTCCTATTTATGCGAACTGCGTGAGGACCGGGTACATCCCCAAGGCTTGGAGGGTAGTCAGTGTTGTGTTCATCTCGAAGGCCGGAAAAGGCTCCCAATTTTTCCCCTAGGGATTTTAGGCCTACCAGTCTCTTCATTTTTTCTAAAACGCGTTTGCTAAAAATGCTAGAGAGACTGATAGACCTGTACATAAGAAACACGTTTCCTCGTGACTGTCTTTCAAGAGCTCAATATGCTTTTTGCAAGAAAAGGTCGGTGAATGCCGCCCAGCACACATTTGTAAAGTGGTCAGAGGAAGCCTTCACGCATGAATATTAGGCAGTAGGGATCTTCGTTGATATCGAGGGGGCCTTCAACAATGTCACTTTAGAGGCAATAGTCAAGTATATTCATAATCTGAGGGTTGAAACCAACCTATAAGGCTTATCTACAGCTTACTTCGTGGCACAACGGAGTGGGGGAGCGGTTGCACTCAGTGCAGAGTCAATAGGAGCATTCCACAAGTTGGTGTTCTCTCTCCCCTGCTCTAGATTGCGGTTGTAAACGACCTTCTAGAGGAACTGGAAAAAGTGGGCTGTCGGGTGATTTCCCATGTAGAAGATGTGGAGCTTTTGGTTAAGGGACGATTTCCATACACCCTTTTTGATCTGGCTCAAGGTTAGCTGAACCAGGTAACTAGGTGGGCGATCAACGGCAGCTGTCGTAGGAGCCTAACATTGAAGAAAGAGTAGGAAACCAGTCGGTTGCCTTGTACTGCTGTAGGGGAGCTATCGGTAAAAGGTGAGTCTCTCGCCCAAATTAATTCATTAGCTCTAGGAAACTATATTTAGCTGTAGCAAATATTTTATAGGGCACTATAAAACTCAAGGGCTATTGCAATTGGTATTCATGCGGTGAGACTAGGAATTTTAACTGATCCTTTTGTATCAGCTGTCAAGATGAAGATGAAGTGGAATCATCTCCACACTTTCTTTTAGACTGTCCAACCTTCGCTAGGCTAAGATGGAGGCATTTTGGCTCGCACTTCTGAAGAAACTCTGAGCTCTCAGAGATCGAAATTAGCCGCATTCGAAATTTCGAATCGACTCGCGGTGTTAACTTAACCCAACTTAAGCTGTACTTTGAGCTATGAAATAGCTGGTCACATTATGCATACATCAAACAACCGTTCAGCGACAGCTCCAGCAATACACAACCTGCTGGCTCATCAGCTAAACTTCGAATGTCAAGGAAAGCAAATAGATATTTTATCTTGCTGTGCAAGAAAGTTTTTTACTGTCGGTGTTAGGCTGACGGCTGATCTAATAAGTTCAAGCAAATTTTCCCCCTAAATAGGCAGTGTAGCTACTTGAAGCTTTCACTAAATTATAGTAAAATTTATTGGGCAATAAATCTGCGTACTCAAAATTCCAATTAATTAGAAAAATTAAAAATTTAAAACCTGATTAAAAGCAAACTGCAAAAAACCGCTTGGAAGGGAATGCGTCAATTTTTTTCAAATAACGGAATACAGCATCAAATGACGTAACCGAGAATCAAACAATGCGATAAATTACGAAAAAAAAAAATGAATTATCAAATGCAACCCTTCAAACTTTCACCCTAATACCATGTTCCCACGACGTAGTTATGGCTGTTCAGTTGATTACACGGTTGCCACTTTGGTAAAGTTGTACCAAATATGGGCCTTCTTTCTCCGTTTTGGCCTTTGGGCATTTTTTGTTAGTTTTGGGCCTTTTAGAAGCAACTATAGCTATCCGATCGTTTGGCGTTGGCGAGAGCTATCCGTTTGTTTGAAATATGCCGCACTCGCTGCAGCTGTTCTGTATGTTTTGTTAATTGTTATCGCCTTGCTGCAGTGGAATTATGACAATCGCTACGCTAATATTTCATCGCCAAAATTGTCTTAATGAAAAGCAGAGGGGCCTAAAAATATACGGTAGGAAAAATTAATAGCTGTAATGTGTAATCAACCAAATCTGGCAGTATGAGGGGCATGTAACTAGACGTTGCGTGTTTTTAGGCTCGTCTGCTATTCGTTTTGAGATTTTTAGCGACCAAAATTAACGATAGCGAAAGTTGGAATCGGGCTGCTGATCTCTAAATTTTCGCTGTGAATACATGTGTACAATGTTCACTGTACATACATATGTAGTTAGTGTACATCTTGTTTCAATATAATATTCACTATGTTAATAAGAAATCTTTTCATTAATTATTTATGAAAATATAGTCCATTCTATACTAACAATAATTGTTCCGGAATAGATTAAAATTAACAATTAAACCATCAAAATGTTTTGATTATATTATATCTTATTGTGAAATTATTAATGTGGCAACACTGACGCTTAAAATATTTTCATGATAAACTGCACTACACGGCAGCAGTGCTTTTACTTATTCTCTTTTTACAAGGCATTCGCATAACTGAAAGGAATCCATTTGTATTGCACCTGTTTATTCTCTCTCGGTCAAGCGCATTCCGGCAATATAGTGAAGTTTTGTCAAAATTAATTTTTCGTTTTATTCATCAACAAAAAACTGGTCCTTCGGGCCCGATCGTGCTCGACTAAACGTGGAATAAGCTGCATAAACTACAATTATGCAAAGAGACTGGGCGGACTTAGTACAACTACGCGGCCGCCTGAAAGGCTCAGTTTCGCGCACGCTGGCCTACGCAGAAAGGCCACCAGTGGACTGCACAGTGGAAGATGTGTCTCCACGCTTGGAACGTTTACAGGAGCTCTGGGAAGAGTTCACCATCATAACCACAGCGATGTATAAGTTCAGCAAAGAAGCGGATAATACAGATCCAAACGCGGACTTTGAAATATACGAAGACAAGGCTATGTCAGCACGTGGTCGGCTTCAAACATTGCGTAACGAGTTGCAACCACCGGTTAAAGAAGAGCAGCCAATCTCTATTGCGAAATTAGTTGAACAGCAAGCATCATTTTTGCAACAGTTCACGGCGGCGCACATACAGGCAGCTGCACCCAAAGAAAACGACTTGCCAAAAATTATTATACCGCCGTTTACGGGCCAGTATAAGGCGTGACCGTCGTTTAAAGACCTCTTTGTTAGTGCTGTTCATGAAAAAGCTAACCTCACTAACACGCAGAAGTTCCACCATCTGAAATCGTTTTTAAAGGAAGAGGCCGCGCAAATGTTAATGCATATTCCAGTTACTGATAAGTCTTACGATACGGCATGGGCACGGTTAAACGAACGATACGATCGACCGCGTCATATTGTCGAATCATTTATTGAAACCTTTGTGGCGCTGCCCTCAACCATTAATGAGGATGTAAAAGCTTTACGCAAAATTTCAGATGGTTATACGAGGCTTGGACGCTATCGGAAGGGGTGAGCGCGACTGCTGGCTGATCTACTGGATGGAGTCCAAGTTAGACACTGAATCAAGACGTAAGTGGATTGAGGAGAGCAAGGAGGTGAGTGTGCCTACAATTACTGATTTTTTTAAGTTTTTGGACTCTCGCTGCGAGGAACTTGAATTGGCACACCCAAAGCCCTCTTCAGATGGCAAGATCTCCTCACCATCCAGCAACAAATCACATAATTCTACCGCACGGGCATTTCTTTCCATCGACGATTGCAGCGCAACTCATAAATGCATCAAATGCGGCTCCACAAATCACACAATTCCAAAATGTTCAACCTTTTCAAGCATGTCTATTCAAGATCGACGTCTTCTAGTCGAAGACAAACCGCTCTGTTTCAATTGCCTAAGGGCAGGGCATACGTCGAGTACATGTGTATCTAAGTTTCGTTGCAGACGTTGCAACCGACGACACCACACTATGTTACACGCCGAGTCTTCTGGGCCGATTCCGGAAATACCGTTAACAGCACCGGCAGCATCACCACATGTTTCAGTGAAACCCTTTGGGTCCATAACAGCAGGTAAACCTTGGTCTACCGCAGCTCATGTTTCACAGCCATTGTCTTCGTTCGTCACTCCTATTGACTCAGACGCACTTCCTGTTTCCGAAAAGTATCGTAAGGCTCTATTACCTACCGCACTAGTCAGCGTTCGCACTGCTCACGGTTACTTCATTCCATGTCGAATGCTAATCGATTCTGCTTCCGAACTTTCCTACATATCGGAGCGTTGTGCCCAAAAGCTTGGCATTCCACGCTCACCATCTCGAATTGTTGTCACCGGCATCGCTTCTTCAAAGGCTGTAGTCGTATTTCCTTATTCATCAAGTCACGTGTGTCTGAAAATACCCTCGCCGTAACTGCTCACGTGTTAAGTAACATAACTACGAGGTTGCCAGCGACAACCATTGACATAAGCTCCCTAACGCAATTGCAAGGCATCCAACTGGCTGACCCCACTTTTCGCACTTACTCAAGAGTGGATATTCTTCTGGGAACTCAGCATGTCCGGGATATCTTCACTTTTAACAAAATGGCCGACGACGTCGGCAACCAATTCGCTATCTCGACAATTTACAACGTTTGCTTAAGATTTCGCTATTATCACTTCGTATTCACGGCGGACATTGTCAAGATGTTTCGCCAAATATGGATCTCTGAATATCATCGCGACTTTCAAATGATTGTATGGAGGGAAAGTCCTGACTTGCCTCTTAAACATTATCGGTTGAACACTGTTACCTATGGAACTGCATGTGCACCATTTCTGACAGTAAGGGTTCTACAGCAGCTGGCTCATGACTCCAAGTAACAGTTTCCCCGCGCGAGTAGCATACTGCTGGAGGACTTTTATGTAGATGACGTGCTGACGGGGTGACCTCGTAGACAGAGTTAGTGGAAAGACGTGATGAGTTGGTTCAGCTGTTTAAAAGCGGAGGTATGGAATTGAGCAAGTGGGTATCAAACTCGATTCAAATCACTTTGGATCAGACCGTTCACCATGAGATGTTCTCAGAAGAAACTACATAGGTACTTGGTTTGTACTGGAGCCCTAAGGAAGATACATTGACGTAGCGAGTCCAACTCTCCACCACAGCTGTGGCTAGTAAGAGACACGTTTTGTCAGCTGCTTCACGATTGTTCGATCCTTTAGGTCTCTTGTCTCCTATTGTTATACGCTTAAAGGTAATGTTTCAAGCTCTCTGGCTCCAAGACCTGGGCTGGGACGATCCACTGCCTACACACTTGGCTAACCTGTGAGCAGCATATCAGGAAGACATTCATCATGTACGCGATCTAACTATTGCCCGTTTCGTTCCTAATAGTGCCACCGAATGGGAGCTTCATGCGTTTTCAGATGCATCACTTAAAGCATATGCAGCCACGGTCTATTGTAGTTTCGTAAACGACACAGGCCAATCCAACGTTTCTCTGATAGCTGCAAAAACTCGCTTGGCACATTGAAAACAGTTTGTTTGCCGCGGCTCGAGCTATGTGGGGCACTATTGCTAACACGTTTGGTTAAGGTCATTCTTGACTCAATGCCACACCGAACTATCAGAGTATATGCTTGGTGTGACTCTACGATAGTTATGTCATGGCTTTCCATTCCTCCAGTAAGGCTGAAGACCTTCATTGCTAACAGAACCAGTGAAATTCTGGATACCCTTCTACGGAACGTGTGGCACCATGTGGTATCAAAGGACAACCCAGCAGATTGTGCCTCACGCGGAATGTCAGCTGCTGCGCTAACAAATTTTGAGTTATGGTGGAAGGGACCAAGTTGGTTAAGCAGCGGGGAGAAACTCAACAATATTTTAAGTAAGAACATTTTTCATATGCCCAAGCCTGTTTCAAGGACGACATCGAGTCCCTGAAGTGCCAAAAAAACATAAATACCCGCTCAAGAATAATTGAATTAGCCCCGTTTTTAGACGATAAAAACGTTCTTCGAGTAGGTGGACGGACCTCCAACTCCGACTTGGATATGGAGGCCAAGCATCCGATCATTCTACCTAAAGGACACAAGATCACTGATATTATACTGACTTATGAGCATCATCGGCATCTCCATCCAGGAGTTTCCGCACTCTTCGTAATAGTACGACAGCATTATTGGATATTAGGGGCAAGGAATTTAATCCGAAGAATCACGCACGCTTGTTTAAAATGCTGTCGCCAACGGAATTCGAATACTCAACAATTTATGGCTGACCTTCATAAAATTCGTGTAGAACGAGCATTTTCATTCCAGCACACCAGATGTGATTACGCGGGACCGATAACCATGAAACTTTATCGAGGCAGAAACGCTCGTCAGTCAAAACGGTACATTTGCATATTTGTTTGTCTCGCCACGACAGCTATCCATATAGAAATGGTAACAGATTTGTATACGGATGGATTCCTATCAGCACTTCGCCGCTTCATGTCACTCAGAAGCAAATGTACACAGCTGTTCAGTGACAATGGACGCAATTTTTTGGGTGCTTCACGTGCTCTCAACGAAATGCACCGGGCGTTACTATCGCAGGTGCACAACGAGATGGAACTACATACCTCCTCACGCACCCCACTGGGGCGGTATATGGGAATCGGCGGTCCGATCTGTTAAACTCCATCTGCGCCGCGTCATTGGCAACACAATTCTTACAACTGAGCAATGTACTACTCACCTGACGCAGATTGAAGCTGTTGTTAACTCACGGCCACTCGGTGTGACACCTTTCCATTTTCTTATAATAATTTTTGTCAAAATTTCAACATTTTTATGCAGAATTTCAAATAAAATTTTAAGTATGCAGTTTTTTAGCCCGTTCAATTTTAGTAATACAATGTGCAAGTTTCAAGTCGCTAAAAACTACCGTTGATTTTTTAGAATTTTTTTGTGGGGGGTGTAGCGCGTTTTCTTCTATATAACGCATAATCAAAATCTATATTTATATAGAAGAAAACGCGCAACACCCTCCATATAACGCAAAATCAAAATCTATTTTCATATGGAAGAAAACGCGCAACACCCTCCACAAGAAAATTCTAAAAAATCTACGGTAAATTTTTGCGACGTGAAACTTGTACTAAAGTTTAATGGGCTACAGAAGTGCATACTCAAAAATTTTCTAGAAATTCTGAATAAAAATTTTGAAATTTTTATAAAAAAAATTTTAGTTTTTATGAACTTTATATAAAGAATTGGATGTAGACGTAGAATATGCTATATTTTTATAAAAAGTTAATGAATATTAAGCAAACAAAAGGAAAACTGTACCTAGTTCGAAAGGAATTGATGGGCTCTTTGTAAAAATACATATTTTTTTATGCAGGTTGTGTCCCGTAACATCTACATTTCTCATCAGGTTTTCATTTACTGTAAAAAGAAATGATTGATATTTTAATTTTTCGATTTTGGTCGCTTTTAACACTAATAATTTTCATCGAAATCGGCAAAATAATATATTTTTGTAAGGGGACTGTAGGTCGCTTATGTTGATTGGATAATTTTTTCATGAGATATTGACGAATAGGTTCGAGATGTACCAAAAACACGTTTTTCGAAAAAATTACGAAAACGCTTGTTTGAAAGGAAAATTGGCCTGGAGAATATTTTTTTCTTAAGCGATTACCACAAAATTTGTAGAAGAGTGTTATCGATATATTTGATGCTGGTCTTCAATTTCTCGTCATCCATTGTCCATACCCGTACAATATTTAGAACGCATTGACTAGTTGAACCTTCAAAACCAGCAGTGCGGAATTAATTAGGCGTAATGTAAACATAAAGTTTTTATGTGATAATTGCAACAATCACTTATCAAAATTGTGTGAAGCTAACTTAGTTGATGTGCTAAAGAGTTTAAGGTCTCTTAGTGACTTTCCGCACTTGTTCGCTCTTGAAAAATCTGGCTCTGTCGGTTATTCAGCTCCAGCTAATAGCAATACAACGCCTAATATTATCCAAGGCCAAGGGCGCTGACCCCATTAAACGGAAAAATATTGATCCGACATCGCCGTCTTTGTTGCTGCAATCGTCGCTCACATCTTTTGACATGAATGCCAATGCCACGTGTACCAAATCGAATTCGCACTCTACATTATCGAGAGAAGATAACGTCGAGGGAACGTGTATTGGTATGCACGGTGATAATAACGCTGTCTCTCTCGCTGCTGCTGACATTGGAGATGTGCCAACTTCATATGCTGCCGCTGCTGCTCTTGGTGTTGACAACGCCCTCGTATCTGGTGCTCTTAGCACTGTACCTACGAGTAACACTGGTAAGCACGATGATAACAACGCTGTCTCTTTCGCTGCTGATGACATTGGAGATGTGCCAACTTCATACGCTGCCGCTGCTGCTCTAGGTGCTAATGACGCTCCCATATCTGGTGCTCTTAACACTGTGCCTACTAATAACTTGTCGCCTAATGATTGTGTTAATATCAATGCCGCTGCTGCTCTCGGTATTAACGATGCTCCTGTGTCTGGTGCTATTAACGCTGTATCTACCAATAACCTGTCGGCAAGTGATAATATTAAGAAGAAAAATCGCGCCGGTGTTGTTGGTAGAAATGGGAGAGGTGAGTTGGAAGTATCTGTACGAATGAAGTGGGTGCACCTCTCTTCAGTCAAACCATCTGTCCACGCATATGATGTTGCTAATTACGCTGCGAAGTATATGAAAGTCGACTGCAAAGTCATCTCTTGCTTTAAACTAATAAAAAAAGATGAAACTCCAAAAAGAGTAAATTTTAAACTAGGCGTTCCACCGCCGCTATATAATAAGCTCTTAGATGCAGAGTTATGGCCAGCTGGCGTAAGAGTACGGCCATTTCGCTTTTTTCAGAAAGCCAAAGAATCGGATTCTATCAATTGAAAATAGGTCGAAGTCTGTATTTGGTGACGACAAAATACGTGATTATAGCATTTACTATCAATATGTTAGTGGCATGCGCACTAAATCTTCGAAATTCCGTCGTGACTAATCTCTTCATGAGTATGATATTATAGCCATCACTGAAACTTGGTTAAATAATAATTTATCTTCGTCTGAGTTTTCGACGACTTCTACCATGTTTACCGCGTCGATCGTTGTCCTATCTCATCAGGGCTTGGAAGAGGTGGTGGGGTATTAATTGCAATAAGAACTGATCTCTGTAGTAGTATTGTATCGTTAGATTTAAGTGATGATTCTATAGAACAAATTTGTGTTAAAATTAAGCTCGCGAAAGATAAATCAGTATTTATATTAGTATCTTACATACCACCAAACAGCAACATTGATGTATACGAAAAGCATTAGCAAAATTTGGTAGATATAAGTGACAGTGCTAATTACACCGATGAAGTAGTTTATCTTGGTGA